ACACTGCCACAATAAAGGAATGAGTTGGATCATGTGCGGGACTTAATTAATTTATGTGTAAGTACAGTATTTAGTGTTATAATTACCCATTTTCGAATCATAGTCAACAACCCGCTACAACTTAATTTATAATTTTGTAAAACACACGTGGCGTAAATAGTAATGTTTCTTTGAAAATTTTAATCATAGTAGAACGAGAAAAAAATTATTGATATATTATGTAATAAGGTATTTATTTAACAACTTTTGTAATAGTAGTGAAAAATAGGGAGGTTCTCTGAACTATACTTAGGAGTAGAGGTAGTACTCTGAAGTATAGTTACAAATACGAGTAGAATTAATTGAAACTAACTTTTTGTTTGAAAAAACAAATATATGTGATTTTAGACCCGAAAAAATTCAATGTGAACGAATCGCGAAAAGTTAATAACACAACATTATTATTCTTAATCTTACTACATTTTAATAGTAAGTTTAAATAGAGAGGTGTCGTTAATCATACACTACGCACTATTTCGCAGGAAAATTACGCAAGTGCTTGTGTAATATTCATATTCCAATCCAGTGGGTTTTGAATCACCTAATCCTTTTCGATTCACATGCAGTTTCTTTCAATAACTTAATTGTTATATTATTAAGTTTTCAACTGTCACCTGTAAAGGACCTGTAAAGGGCCCGAAACGTTGGTTAGTTTGAAAAAAACAAATATATGCGATTTAAATCCGGAAAAATAGTTTCATTTCCGATGTGTAACAATCGCGAAAACCTAAGAACTTGATATAACTTAAAAGTTGCTTTTGTGAAGAACATAGTCATCACGAAACCTGCATACAAAAAAACTTCTGTATACAAAAAATTTAGTCGTTTTTAATGCAGCAGGAAAAACTCGAATTAGTATATCATTTTCTAATTTTATGTATTGTCAACATGTAGTCTAGGTTTTGCACTCCCTTCACATATCGCAATTGTTTAATTTTATTTAATAAATAACGAATATTATTACTATAATTGTCCATCGTCGCTAAATAGGAACTGCTACTCATCAATAGCCATCGAAAAAGGTTTAGAAAAAGTATTGCAAAGGGAGTGAAACCGAAAAATGAAAAAGGTGATAAGTAACCAATGCTTTGATTTTTAGGCAAACTCGCACTAAGTTTATTTAGCTATTTGGCTTGCTGCAGCCCATACAAGTTGTTCTTATTTCATTACTTAAGTAAAAGCTGCTGTTGTGTACAAATCGATACTTCGGGGAAGAAAAGGTGCGTGGTCTATTGATGTAATTGGCATAAATTTTTGTTCATCTGTTAAGGCAAAAAAATGTTTTTTTTGTCAAAGAATGAAATGAGATAAGTAAGATTTTATACATAAAAATAACCATAAAATATAATAAAAAGGATATGAACCAAAACTAAGCAAACTATGTAATTTGGCATTTTATTCACTGAAATATCGAAATTTATTTAATTTCTTGTTTTTTTGTTGTTTGTTTTCACAATTAATTTAAGTTTTTGTTTCGTCTCTGTTGTTTCTTCCTTTATTATTCCATATTATTTTTATCTATCTAAAACCAACATAAGCACTTTACCAGGGTCGGGTCAAACTCTGTACTTAAGAGTAGACCGTGTCCAGTAGTAAAACTTAAATGGGTTACAGTGCAATTGTCGTATGAAGGCGTTTTGATACTAATCACACTTTTTTATCTGAATAGAATTCGAAATTTAATTACATAATGTTTTGAAAAAAAATATTTATTTGTTCTCCATTGTTAAGTTGCTACATCAAGCATGATTAATATCAATACAGTAAATTTATCACATAAAAATATCTATATCGTGTCGCAAAACAGTACTTGAACAGTGCAATTATATTACCAAAAAGAAAAAAAAACGTTACACGTGAAACAGCGCCTAATATGCCTCTCCGCACGATTTTTTTTTGTAATATCTAAGTAAAGACAGGATTTATCTGGCCTTTGCCCAGCAGTGGGATACATTGGGCTTATTGTAATTGTATAATATCAAGTGAGATATCGGCAGTCGTGCGCCTAATGGTAAGCTACACGTATGTCCATAACAGTTGTAGCAAAGATCTGAGGGGCACTGCCACTGCGCCCATCACCCTGAGACATAAGTTGAAAAGTTCCATGTGCCTGTAATTTCACCAGCACCCTTATCCTTCAAAACCGGAACACAGTAACGCTGACATTACTGCTTGGCGGCAGAAGTAAGTAAGGTGGCAGTATTTCCCTGGACGAACTCTTTCACAAGGAGCTCTACTGCTACTATTTGTCGTAACCATGTCGTAACTAACATTAAACAAACTTTTCAAGGCAACGTATTTTCAATTTACAGACCCCCATATGTGGGACGATTTGTATTCACGATCCGTCGTTTCAGACTGATTGAAACGACAAATCGATAGTATTAACTTGCACGCCAAGAGAGTAGCGACGTATCGATACGATTATCGTGATGATCGAACGAAATGATGACTTGCACCTTAAACTCAATGTGTGTCAATGTCCTTCTGGCAATTAATTACATTCGATATTAAAAAAAAGTTGACGTACAACGGTCAGCGGAGAATGTCCGCTTTTGAGAGGCAACATCAAACGCACTTCTTGCATAGTTGAAACACTTGCAACACAACTGTCAGATACGACAGGCTAGTAGAGAGAGATGATATTAAACAAAGCAGAACGTTAAGTATATGCAACGTGATGTATATCGTGAAGATATTATGGGAGTGCGTCGTCTGGAAATATACGGTTAAAGATATTTCCACATGGGGACATGAAAACGCAATAGAAAATTGGGAATGGAAAGTGTTTTAGCCGCAATTTGAATGATTATAAAGTAATGAGTAAGATACCATTGTTGTATTGAATTTATGTATCATTTATTTAAGTGTTTAATTTTATTGGGTTGACCAAAAGTCTGTGCGCTATCAAAGTATAAAGAAAGACATTAAAAAAAACTTATATTCAATTAAATTTGCATAAAACGTAATTGAATAAAAGTTTTTTGTTGATCATGTTGATCTAATAAGTCTTACTATATATTCGAATATATTTGTAACTCCATTTTCACAAAACTTCCTGTCTTTACTTAGGTATAAAATACAGCTCCGTTTGATGGTCTCTTCGTTATTAAAACCGTGTCCGTCCAAAAAATTATGTAAAAACCGAAACAAGTCAAAACCTCTAGGGACATTATCGGGCGATTATTTTTTAATTTAACCTGTCAACAATAACTCGCAAGTCAAGTAACAATAAGTCCGCGTATTGTATACCCTGACTTTTGTCTATTGTTTCTCTCCGTATTTTGCTCTTGTGTGCCGTAATGTGTACTTGTGTCGTAACATTTTCGTAAAAGTTAATTAGAGTATGTAAATACTTATTGGTTTAAAGCATATAAAGTTTTATTAGTTTAACAAGTTAGGCAGCTGTAACAAAAACTTGCGAGCATATTTGAACTGGTTATCAGACACATGATAAGAAGCCACTTTTTGAAGTAAAAAATAAATATTTGCCATCAGTCAATAAGAATTTTGTATGGGTAAGCTTTTTTTTATCTTATATTGTTAGACTATTTGAACGAGTGCTTATTGACACGCGATTACATGTTGTTGTGTTGTCGTTTTATTCTTCTGTTGTCCTAAACTCATTTTTCTTTTTTACGAGTCTGCCTACCTTTGTTTTTCTTTCTACCATGGTTCATGTAAATAATATGTAGGGTTGCATGTAATTCCATTTACTCTTTGTACATTTATTTAAGTGTTTTTTTTTATTCTCTTAAGTTTTCGCTATTGTTACGCGTAGGAAATGAAACTATTTTTCCGAATCTATATTGCGTATATTTGTTTTTTTTTTCAAACAAACTTTTCGGCCCATTTACAGGTCCCATGGTCATGGATGCTTGGTTTGTTTGAAAAAACCAAATATGCGAGATTTAGATCTTAACTGTAAATAGTTTCATTTCATATTTTATTAAGTACCTATATAACAACCTAAGGGGGAGCTCCCTTCGCGTATAATATTTTAAAATTTGTACTGTTTACCTGAAAATTACTGCTGTCTGGAAATAAGCCTGTAGGCCTAGCACGAAAGGGCGCGACTTGCGCGAGAGCAACATAAAGCGCGAGATACTGCTATTCTCGCAAAGAGATCTCTCGCTTTATGTCGCTCTCACGCAAGTGCTAGCCCTACTGTTGTACCTTGTTTGTCTCTGTATTTGATTATTGTGTGCAATAAAATTTACTTTGACCATAATTAATAGAGTAGTTGTACAAATAAATTGTATTCGATGTGAAGTTAAGATGAACGTCGCATGTAAAGGCGCTGCAATTTTTAATGCACCACTACCTTGCGTACTTCTCAATGTAGAAGGCATGTCGACTGTACTCCAAACTGTACTTTCACAACTTACATAAATCACTAAGAAACGTTACGAATATAAAACAAAAATAAATTAATTAATTTTAATGAAAAAAATTGCGAACACATTTCATTTTTAATTTCAGATGATTATTTTGACAACAATATGTTACGGAAAATCGAAGTTTTGACACTATTCATATTATTATTTTATTTACAAAGTTACACAAGTACAAATGGGAGAGATGACAATACTTTCTACAAAGGATTTTCGGATACTTATTTTGGAAAATTTAAAAGATCTACTATGCTTTCGGAGATGGTACAAAATCCAATAATGTCTATGTTGATGCAAGTGATTGCTCCAAATCAAAAACCTAACGCTCCATTGGACTTTCTGGATAGCTTAAAGGATCAATATCCGCTGCCAAATGGTATGTATTATTCTATATGAAGAGACCAGGGAAAGAATGATGGAAGTCATTTAAAACACGTTTTGAGTTAATACCGCCATCCAGTTCGGTAAACGCCAAGCGTACTTTGCCTAAATCAGAAAAAGCCTAATAAGGTGCAATGTCCTTTAAAATTTGCTTTTTCTTTTAGTCACAAAAATGCCTGCGACTTAATGGCAGAAAAGTTAAAAATGAATTATAAATATTTTTAGTTAAAATGGATTACATAACGTTACAAACATTTTATTGCTTGACTTCATTTGAGGTACTTCTTATATGTGCATGTTAAAAGTTCTCTAGATTAAAAATTCGTTTTTCCTAAAATTCTCCTCAAGTGACTTTGATCGTTCTTTCCCTAGACACTTTATATGTGTTAAGAATATTGAAAATTATATTTATGTAACAAAAACACATTCTTCTTATCGTATCAATGGCATACACTATGATGCTGGGATATTTTCGTGCACCTCTCATTACTTACTTACACATCTTCGGTACTAAGTCTTCCCCCCCGGCACGAATTGCTGTGGTCAATTTTTTCCCAAAAATCCCTTGTGACGATGCGACCTCTTTCTGCGTCATCCCACCGTTTTATCACCCTTTTCTGAATTTGAAATTTGAAATTTTGAATCGTTCTAATTCGTTTTTTTCGTCACTCTTACTTTTCTTCTTTCCGTCGCCACTCTCTACTAAATTTCCGAAAGGAGCACACGTGCACGAATTCATTGAAAATCTTGTAACCTAACTACTTATACAAACATGGTTGAGCTCTTTATCGTCCAGTGTAGTACTGCCACCTTACCTATTTCTGC